CTAAGACAAAAATATAATTTGACAAATTTTAAATCAACAGCCTTGTTTGGCATACAATATATATATAATTGATGTACAGTTGAATATTTGAACACTTTCAAATTTTAATCGGTAAATTTACACATCAAGTATAAATTTTAAAAAGTTTAATAATATATTTAGTTTGGTAAATGGACATTTCCCCTCCCCCCGATTTATTTTTAATTTGTTTTAATAAATATAATAGATTATAAATGTATATGTTTGATCCACTGAACTACTTAAAACAATAAAAATTTAAAAAAATAAGTATAAAATAAAATATAATTAATAACTACAAACTCCGGCATAAAAATGATACATTATCGGTAAAAAAACATTTGATTCAGTATTCTTTTGTTATTTCTAAACACATATTTTTGACCAAAAATATATATTTATAATTTATTATATTTATGAAAGTATTTGAAAATATTAGACGATAGGCAAAACAATATTATTAAATAGTAAACTTAAAAAAAAAATGGGGGGAAAATATCCTACTACACCGAAAACAGCCAGGAGGAAAATGTCGGGGGAAAAATGTCCGCGATTCATATAGTTTTATCTAGTTATTTAGTGAATCCTAATGAGCAGGTCAATAATATTTGTATTGTTTTCAATTACGTAAAATTAATATTAATTAATGTATTCACTATTCAGTGTACCTATGTAAAAAAATATTATTTTGACCATTGCCTTTTGGCTAGGTTCGTATGGACGTGCGTTAGTCCACCGCACGTATTTATTTTATGGGTTGAATTTATATCATAGATATTAGATACCTACCTATTAAACATTTGGAATATGGGTGTGGCATGGATCCAAAATTGTGAAGTTCTATAAACAGTGTAGATAAACATAATTTTATTCCTCTGAGAGATAGACAATACCACATCCATATCATGGATTTAATATCTATGATTATTGATTTACACATAGGTACATCCAGTGGCGTAGCTAGAATTATGAAATGGGGGAGGGGGTGTTTAAGCATAGATTAAAACCAAGTTTTTACAGTTTTCGTATATAAATAAATTTAAGGTTAGGGACTTGACTCTTGTTGCTCTAAAAATTATCGAAATATGCAGTCAAAATTTTCAAAATATGCTTAAATAATTAATATATACAGCTACATTTTTATATTAATTTTGAAAAATTCATAAAACATATTACAATTTTGGTAGTAAAAACTAAAAAATAAGTAGATATATAAACATGATAAAAATAATTTAAACACGGGTATACAAATTTTAATATAGGTAGGTTAATATATATTGATTAATATGCTGGACGGAGGACACTATTGCATGTTTTGGACATTTTTAAACTATTGTGAAATAAAACTGATTTTTAAAAATACTGGCATAAAATACTAGGTTAATAAATAAGTATAATAACGAATAAAGTGATATGTGAACACCGTGATAAACAAACACGTATCTACTGATTTTCATTTCTTCATACAATCTAGAATCTAGAATCTAGATGTCAATTATAGTTTTAACCCAGTCTTGTCCCAAAGATACTTATAAATTTATAAATACTTACGTACCATATGCGAAAACAGGGCCAACCGTAGCCAAGCTCCACCAACAACTTTAACAGCCCTCCCAAACATTTACTAAACATTTTTAAGCTTATTCAATTTTATAATAGTATGATTTTAAGCTTCGGCTTCCCTATTGCACATAACCAAATATTATAAATATAAGCTAATATAAGTAGTATAATATATAATATAACTTATTAAAATGGAAAATTTAAAAATAAAAACTAAATTGTTATAAAATATTGTTTATTAATAATAATAAAAATGATCAAACAATCAATAATATGATTATAAATCTTAATTGTATTATATTATCAAAAGTTATGATTAAGTAAATTAAAAATGTGTACAATATAAATATGTCAAAATGACAAATAAAAATATAATATTGAAGTGTCTTGAATATTGAAAACACTAATAGAATATAATATTGAAAAAATACATATTGTATAGTATAATATGGAAATATCTTAAAATCACAAATCATTATATTTCATATATTTACAATATACACCTTATGTATATAAGAGTACAAAGTTCCCGCATTCTGTAATCTAAAGTTTTACAGGACAGTACAAAGTGTCCGCGTTCTGCCATGTACATTTTTATCATACCGTACAAAGTGTCCGCGTTATGCATTTTAAACAATGGACAGTACAAAAAGACCGTTTACCGAAAATTATATAGTTACAAATTTAATTTGTCCAGTCTAATAATGTCAGACGTTTATTTGAAGTATTTTAAAATGTTTGTAACTTCTCAACTTTTCTGGTAGAAAAAATGCTCTGGTCATAAACTTCGATGCCCGATGTATGTTTTCGGAAGAAAATTGGATCTAGTTGGTACTTTAAGGAGGTCGAAATTGAAAATTCTCAGTGCTTTTTAAAATAATTGAAGAAAAAAAAATTTTAATTTATTAAAATTGTTTGGTAACCACTAACCAGCTTTGTTATACGATGCACTTGGATGTATTTGATTAATTAAAATTATTTTTTTTTCTTTAAATATCAATAAAAAATTATGTATCCGGCCAAACAACTTAAAAATGTTATACATAAGTTTTTATTATAGCTAAAATATTAACGATATACATAGGCATTATGGTATTTTTTATAAGCATTTTAAGTTCAAATTTTGTCAAAACCACAGTTAATTTGTAGTTCAAAACTTATAAAAAATACCATAATGCCTATGTATATCGTTAATATTTTAGCTATAATAAAAACTTATGTATAACATTTATAAGTTGTTTGGCCGGATACATAATTTTTAAATTATTAAATTTGTATAAGCTGAGACTAGAAAATTTAATACAAGGTCTTTCATACAAGTAGTTCATACTTTTACCGAAAAATTACAGATAATTTTAGGAAAATTAGTACCTATGCAAATACAATGTTTTTTCAAAAGTGAATTCATTGAAATATTATTCATTAATAATTCACACATATGAAATTTACTTCTTGCTTACTATAGTTGACAGTTGAAAATTGATAAATATATTTTTTTAAAGTAATAATAATACGGGCAATGGGGGGGAGGCTTTAGCCCGTTAGCCCCCTGCCCCCCTCCCCTGTGTACGCCACTGAGTAATACATATAAGTGTCAATCGGCCATGACTACAGACAATGCAAATATAATATAAGTGGAAAACATACAAATATTATGCTGAAACGACAATACGACATTATATTTTATTATCATCAGTCATCACCATCAGCACACTCAAGTAAGAGCAGATAAGTTAAAAAAAATTATTATTTTGTGACGCGTTAGTCTGCAAAGTAAACACTTTGGAGTAATCTCTACATAACTACATTATTATAAGAAGCGTTATGAACTTTAAAATGGTTTAATATGATTTTGTTTTATAATATTACCTACTATATTAATTATTAGGATGTCTTAATATGTTATTATTACCTATTTACCTTCCATAATATTTCAATTTTCAGATTAAAAATAATTATATTAAATATTATACGCACTACAATTTCTAAGTAGAAATAAGTTCTTTAGTATTTCTAAATTTCTAACTTCCTAATCTGAAAATTGAAGTGTAGTATAATATAATATATAATACAATAATATTATATAAATAACCAGGTAACCTACCTTAACCTATATAATAATTAATATTTAAGAGGCCTGAATATGTTATTATCTGTCTCATAAATGTAAAACAGTTTTTGCAATATTTTAGTTACTTTGCGGCTCTAATGGCGTAGCCAGGGGTGGTGTTTTAGGTGTTTACCCCCAACCCCCTTGACATTTTCCCAATAATAAATATATTGTTTATAGGGTTCAGGACTGCTTGCATGTTTTATTGTAGTGATTGTAGATAATTTTAGAAGAGTTATAAATTTGTCTTATGAAATGGGGAAATTGAATACAAAGATTGAATTTGCATATTTGTGCATATTTTGCATTTTTTAAACTTAATTACTTAAATGTACCTACATACAATTGTCGGGAAAAAATTATGATAAATTTATCCCCACATTTAAAAATTTGAAAATGTATAAAAATAAAACAAACGGCTAGGCGTAGGTGTTGACTCTCTCGTCGCATAACATTTAGTAGGTATAGTGAGAATTTTTGTATAAAGTATATTTAACCAAACGTACATTTGTTTGCGTACAACTATAAAATCAAGAGCAAAACACTTTACGACGAATTATCATTTGTTATGATATTTCAATATTTGTATAGTATATTTACTATTTATAGCTATAAAAATAATAATAATAAATTATCAAAGTCATGAAAACGTATTCCTGAGAAAAACCATAAAGTTTAATTAACCAAAACGTACATTTGTTTGCGTACAACTATAAAATCACGAGCAAAAAACTTTACGACGAATTATTATTTCATATTTGTTATGATATTTGTATAGTGTATTTACTATTTATAGCTATAAAAACAATAGGTAATAATAAATTATCAAAGTCATGAAAACGTATTCCCGAGAAAAAACCAAAGTTTTATAAAAACATAAGGTTGCAGAACAAATACGACCACGGTATACGACTCGACGTATCGACGGGTACAGTGGCGTCATTTGGGGGGGGGCAACTTTGTGCATTTGCCCCAGTCTAGTATATTTACATCAACCTTAAGTCAGCACATTTACCACCCCTCCCCCCACCACCTTATCCACCATAGCGCTATGCTATGAGAATATGAGTGAAAAAAATGTTGAGTCGGAAAAGCCGGGAGAAGTTGCCCTAGTCCAATAAAAACCGAAATGACTGGACGGGTGTACGCGCCGCGTAAATAAATTATTCTGAATTTTTTTTTACGGGTACCACATTTGCCGTTCCACTCCAATCTGCTTGTGCGGAAACCTGACGAGTGACGATATAATATAATATTATAGTTTTACAATCACCTACATAACATTTCGTTCGTTTTTTTTCCAGTCGTCATGGTTGGACGGAAAATGTTGTCTCTGATGTTGGTCGGACTGTTGATCGCATCTTCCGCCAATGCTGGACCGATCGCAGCTGGAATTTGCTATGCTGGATGTGCTGGCGTCACGGTTGCGTGCTTCTCCGCCGCCGGGTTTACGTTTGGCACCGTTCCTGGAGCAGTGATTGCCGCTACACCCGCGTTGGCTGCGTGCAACGCTGCATTTGGGATTTGTGAAGCCAGCTGCATGGCCGCCTTATTCGTACCCGTACCCTAGATTAGGGTATTATTTTCTTTTTAAAAGCTCGCGCACCTAGTGAACTTTTTTTTTAAATTTATATAATTTTTTTTTCTTTGTAGTTTTCATACACCAACATTTTGTGTTAGAGCGCACATGGTAAATCATTTAATCATCAAATATAAAAATTAACTAAAATAAATGACGAGTGTTATAAATAAACTGCTTTGATTTTCTTCATTATTGCAGTTTATTGTTTTTTTTTTCAAACTATCTGGTTATCACCTCCTACAAGATAGGTACACATATCTTTTCCGCTATACATAAATATATAGGTAGTTTTAAAGATATTTAAATAATCAAATTGTTATCGGTGATATTTTAGGATTATTATTTTTCTTTTCTACATGAAACGTATTGTTTTAATTGAGCAGGATACATTTTTGAATGATGTTAATTCATAATTATTGAAACTTAAGGTAATTTCTAATTCAGTCATTGTTTTTAAAGTTTAAGTACAACTGATTCAACGAGTTAAATTGCAGAAGTACATCTCTAATATTGATACTTAAAAGTATATGTACATCTAATACTATGCCTCAAATGGTTACAGAGTAATTACATACTTTTAATTTTTATTAAGTTAAACTTAGAATAGTGTGCATTTAAATACTGTTGCAACAGAATATTATCCAACTGTACAATGGTAATTTGCTTTTCTTTGTCGTTGCATGTTTTTGTTTCCTTAAAGTTAAATAAAACAGAAAATTGGATTTTTAATCATTAAGAAATTTTATTCTTTAATGGTCCAATAGCCACGTTTTTATTTCATTTATATGTTAAACTAGGTTGTTACTAGTTTCTATATAACTAAGACTAAAAACGAGAATATTAACTATTTTTTTTAATATAAAAGCATTTATTTTATTAAAAAAATAAATAGTTTGTGTGTTGAACTATTGAATCTTATAAAAATGAAAAATTATTCTAATATTTTTAATAGCAAAATACTTTTAGAAGGTAATTAACCAGGTATCATTAAGGCCCACCTGTATAAAAAAAAAGAGAATTTTCACTAGAAATAGGATATTAGAAACTTCTATGTGGCATACTATTCTTTTGATTGTGCACAATATTCAATAAAAGTTATTTTTGAATGATAATCTTGTACATATCAGCCGCAATGATGTTCCATCATAATTCATAAATTATAATATCTATTAACAGCTACTATAATAGTTGTCACTATCAGATATACAAATTGAAGTATAATTGCCTGTGGTAAACAATTATTTTGTGGCCTGACTAAAAAATAAACACATCCATATAAATAATATTCTAACTAAAAATAGACGCTATATAAACATCTACGCGAACTAATGACTATTCAATAAATATAAAAAAAGAACACTGTTGATATAAAAAAAAAATATCAATAATTCTATAATACCTTAAATGGTCATAATTTTGATTTACAATTCTAATAATGTTTTAGAAAAGCAAAGAACAAGTAAAAAACATAAAATACTGTATTAATAAAAATAAAAATAATCTGTAATAATATGTATTTAAGAAAAATACTCTCAAAAAAAATAATTTTATAATTTAAAACCTTAAATTTAAATAAACATATTAATAGCACCTGAATATTTTATATATCTAAATAGTAAATTATAAGCAATTCCAAATTATTAATTAATTTTTTGTTAAATATTTTCAATTACAAAAAACTCACTAAAATAATATTAAATACAATAATTGATTCTTAGTATTAAAAGTATAAAATAAATTGTCTTATTACAGTGATATCACAGTATAACAAAGTGGACACTTGAAGCCCATATGTAAAATCATTCATTATCACAAAAATAAAAATATCTACTGTAGGGAGGGTAAAATTTACAAGTAATTTTATTTTTTAAATGTGCGTTATGGAGTTTTTCTTTATCAGTCTGCATTTTTATTACTATTAATGTTTGCAGTTTATTTTAACAATACTATAAAAATCAAATTGAATAATTCATAGTAACATCATGATGAATATAATTATATAGAATTCAACTAGTATGAAGTCCAAGAATGGCAAGATTAATATTGTATTAATTTAAACAACAATTCAGACTTTAGGGGTTACAAACATTATTGTAAATTTTATGAGATCATCGATTATCAACTAAATTGTGAATAATTGATTTATTAACCATTATTTAAATATTGTGATTGATTTCAAATATTTGTAACAAATATTATATACATATATATATATATATATATATATATATATATAATATAAAAATAATATTTGAAATAATAGTACACAGTACACACAATTCAACTTAATAATTTGTTTACATTAATGAGAAATTATATGCTATTGAAAAATGTTTGTAAACATTGATATAAAAATGTTTTAAATTGGTAATACAATATGTTGTAATGTTATATCAACATTAAAGTGTAAGTACAACATTACTGATTAAGTATAATATTATGTTCAACTTATAAAATACCTTGATAGAATTATTTTAATAATCTAATAAATTAATGGTCACTGGAGGTGCAATGTGATCAACTCCATATTCAGATAACAACAATGCAGCCATCCATCGTAAATGATCTTCTTTGGTAGTACCAGCAATTGACCAACCAAAATTATCTTTTAATCTAAACAAAAATAATTTAATGGTTTAAAATACATTATTTCATAAAATAAATTATGAATTTCAACTGTCTTTTACTTACTCTTTAGGTAGGTCATTCTTTAATATAAATGTTATACACCATCTAAACAAATAGGAGATAAAGTATTAAAAATTATAAATCAACATTGGATAAGGGAATCATTACAATATTGAAGATAATAATATATTGTTAAAGTTCAAGCAATTGTATTGTAATAATGAAATAGAGAAAAATACTTGAAATAGTTACAAATGTCAAGTTGCATAAAAAAATTATAAATTTAATGAACTATTATCATAGATAAATAAATCATGCCTAAGGGGGCCATTAGCTATTAGCCATTCTTTGATTAGATTTTCTCTATTGATTCATTACATTTTGACATTAATATGTCCTATCTTTTGTTATTGTTTGTTTGTATAGGCCTGCCATAAGACATATTAATGAGCTTGTTTTTTCGAAAAAGGGAGAAATTTCAAATAAACAAATTGTAATTTTTTAGTGTTATTATGCTTATATATCGATGGCGTAGCGCACAAGTGTGATAAGTGACATTTTTTTGAAAAATGAGTTAAGTGCATAATCAATTTAATCATACAATTCTGCACATTATGCCCAAACGTTGTAAGTGAATAGTTCATTATTTACTCCGATAGATGTCGTACAGTTCGTTACATTTTTGAATTTGTTATAACATCTCAAACTTAAAAATCGTTCTCCTGAACAATTACGAAAATGTCACTTATCACACTTGTGCGCTACACCATCGATATGATATTTTATAAAATCTGGTATAGTACAGGTATAGTATAGGTATAGTACCTATAAGTGTTTTAATTTTTAAACAGTAATGTATATTTAGAAAAAAAATGAATATATTTATATATTTAAATATATTTATAATGGATCTGCTACTGTTTTGTAGAAAACTAATAAACATGTTAATATTTACCTAGCATGTGGGTTTCTTTTAGGTTCAAATCCAATATACCAAATTAAATCCTTAACAAACCATTCATACAATGATGTTGATCCCTAAAACAAAAAAAAAATCATTAATAAAAAAGGAGTACTTGGAACATAAAGTTACATAAAATAAATAATAATTACAGATTTATCTTTATAACATATCAATTTTCCGTCACTTAATTCAAATAAATAAGACTTAAACGATTTACTCTTTTGTTCAGCAAATTTCAATTCTGCACATAAAGTTAAATGTTCTTTAGCCTATAAAAGAAAATACTTATTAATTGTTTATAATTTTAGTTTTACATTTACTGCCTATATGGGCTATATATAATACATATACACTATACAGTGGTACCTAACCTAACCTACAGAGTATACTTTGAGACACGTTCAACTTACACGCTGCTTGTCGCTGGCTCATTTGAGGAAACTAGTCATACTTTTTAAGAATATCTAATTTTTCTACTATACTCAAATCACAGAGATTGTTCATTGAAACACAAAAAAAAACGAAAAAATAAAAAAAAAATTACTACACAGAAAACAAATTGTATAAAAATGTAACCACATTTACATAACATACACTGAATACGTTAACGCCTGTTCATATACTACCTATTGTACTAACATCGAAAACTGCTTGGTTTATAGTGAAAAGGTAATTTAATTTATGTGAACGATATGAGCAAAATACTGCTTATATAGCATTAATAGCACGTTTGTGGTTTGTTTAATGTATGTACATACTTTATTTATTTATTTAATTTTCAAAGGTTCCCCATAAACCGGTGTGTGAGTTGAATAGACAAATTTTTGTCGTGTTTTAGTATATGTGTAAATCGAGACCAACCATTTTGAGTCTAATAGGCAAAAGAGTCAATTGACTACGAGTCCAATAAGCGGCGACCACTATATATATATATATGCATTATACTTATTACTTACAAACGGTATAATTTCAATAAGTAAAGAATTTGGTTGGAGACAAACAATATAATTGTCCTTTCTATATTTTACATCCCAATAAGCCCATAATAGTACTATGTCTAATAACAACTCTGAATGATGAATTGGACGAATCATTGTTCCGTTGCAAACAACCTCCTGTAAACCAAGTAAATATCCACCACGTGCTCCCATTTTATTCGCAAGTTCGTCACAAATCATTAATGCGGTTTTACTTGGACTCAACTAAAAACAAAATGTACATAAGGTATAAAACTAATATACTTTTAACAATTATAAATTACAAACTTACAGTGACATTAACACAATTTTCACTATCTTTTGAACCAAGATATATCCAAATTTTTAAATCTCCAGAGGGCTTTGATGGCTGAGGTGCATTACCATTTGATAAATTATAATGTATTAATGCTTCCAAA